CAAAGTAAAGATAGACGACCAGCCAAAGTACGAAGCACCGAGGGCATGGGCGGATACAGAGAAAAAGGGGTTGGGTGTAATTTGCGAGCAAAGTGAGCAGCCTTAGGCAGGGGGCCGCCCAGGGCCCCCGGCGGGTTCCAGGGGCAGAGCCCCTGATGCGGGTCCAAGAGGGCGAGGCCCCCTTGAAGCCCAGCACATTTGAGGAATATGAGGTTGTATTGAGTCGATTTTGACTATCTAGCACGGTAGTTTTCAGTAACAAATAAATAAAAAAAAAATATTAGGTGTATGTCTTTTAAAAGAAATTTTAATATACAGGGTATCTGCAAAATGCAACTATGACATGTGTCATTAAATTAGTAATAATTCATCTACTCACAACATAATCTTTGACAACATACAAAGGCTCATAAATGTACACCATTTCAAAAGAGAAATTTCACTTCTAGAAAACATGTTGAAGTTTCTCAGCAACATTGAACATAAAAATCACAAAATCAGCAAAAAGGAAAACTAATATCCAAAAACCGTTAAAAAAGTCGTCAAACAACAAAATCCGCTACTGTATATTAACACTGAGTAAATTACAAGTTTTCTATTTCTCACCAAGTGGATTTACGAATAGCACTCTCCTAGGGTGTTTTTGGTAGGAAAAGAAGACTTAGGCCCTAAACACTGTGGGTGTAATTTTTTCTTTGCAAAAAAAATAGAGGGGGGGGGGCGTGTCCCTAATCCCTAAAGTGTGCAATTTTTAGAGGAAATTGGCCCACTCTGGCAAGAAATGCGAAATTTGAGATTTTTATGCACTTTCAGGGGATGAAAAGGGCATTTATAAGGGGGTGGGAAAGATTTTCCAAAGATAGATATTTTCCCCTTGTTCCCCGGTGGTTAGCCTACGCCATCTGGCAGTTTAGATCAAAGGAGTTAAGTGGAGAAGAGGTTGCAGCGTGTTGTGAGTTTGGTCATTATGATATCTTCCTTTTTTTTCTTGTCTTTATTTTTCTCTCCTCTTTTTCTCTTCCCTTTTCCTTTCCTTTTCTCTTCCTCTTCTTTCTCTTTGCCTCCCTCTCCCCTCTTTCTTTTCTATTATTACCCAGCCCGATACGACGGCTAGTTCAGCCCGGTAAAAACCGTCAGGGGGCAGTCTGCCCCCCCGCCTGTTACGCCACTGTTTCATGTCAATAGAAACAACAGGATTATACAATTCCATACAGTATATCTTTTAAATTACACAATATGATTAAACCAGGTACTGTACTTGAAAACAATAAGGAAGTAAAACTTACACGTCAAAAGTGTCAAATGTTGTCTACACAAAAACTGTATTTTATTAAAAGAGTAAGTCTACTAAAGGGGTGTCGTCAATGGAGATATGCACACATATCAGTGTACTGTGGTCACTGTGCATGGGGTTGTCTGACAGCACATACCTACCTCGATAGAGAGTGATTGATTGCACAAAGTTTTCCATGCTGGTTCATCTGCGCTAAAACTGTCTTTGTAGCTATGCATTGCGCGATATGAATCAACCTTTCAATGGAATCAACCTTTCTATGGAATTGTGTATCCATTCAATTATCTAAAAAAAAAAAAAAAAAAAAA